AACATACTTCCCAAACAGTTAAAGGTGTAGAACACTGAAAACTATTTTTATTTATTATTTCTGATTAAAATCAGTCATTTTGAAATTTTCACGCAGGCTGAACATGTAAATAGTCTCCTACAAATATCTCCTGCATTAGCTTCTGATAGAAAATAGAAGGTGAAACACTAGAATTAGAAAATCCTGACAGATCGACATCACACTGTCACTGAACATTCATGGACTCGCCCATCAGAACTCACAACGGGGAAGGCTGTTGATGGTTTAGCATCCAGGAAACAGCTGAAAATGTCCCGACTATTATAAGCTAACTGTTTGCATTAGCAACCTCAGCACACAGCAGAAGCTCCTGTAGGTATGTGTTATTTGAGGAGCTAAAACATCCACATTGCAAGTCAGAGGTAGAGTCCTGTAGTTGTTATCCAATTTGAGGCGAGATATCCAAACATCCAGAAATAAGACTCCAAAACCTGTCGTCTGAAGCTCAGCTGTGACGTGGCTCACTGCTAGTTCTGTGAAATGGTGCACTAGGGCTGCTCAATTCGAGTTTTAATCACAATTACGATCTGAGTTTTGAACGATTATACAAACAAAACAAGCCGATTATTTGCTCCTCCCGCTTGCGCTGCCCTGAGTTTCAAATGAAGCGCTCGTCCCACAGTGTTGCCAACTTGGCGACTTTGACGCCATTTCCAACAGCTTTTCAGACCCCCTTCTTGACTTTTTAAATCTTAAAAGTACCTAGCGAACACCTCAGAAACATCTCTGGTAACCCTTAGCTACTTTCTGGATAACTGTCGTCGACATTTCCTGCAGGTTAGATAAACACTCCGCCTGCGCTCCGGACCGTTCTTCAGGACATTAGGAAAGGAAATGATGTAGTGATGTGTCGGTCGCTAAAGAAACGGCTCTCAGAGCTGGCTCCTTGTTGGACTAACCAGAGTGAGTGACACACACACCGCACCTGCGGACTCCTGAGCCACTAAAAACGGCTAAATGTGTGCGTGCGGCGCACGAAACACACGTGCAGCTTGCCACTGATTGCTGTGAGACCGGGTTGGGGGGTGGGGGGTGCAGCTGTGGTTGGGACAATTATTACATTAACTGATGGACTTGTAAATACATAGTTTAATAAGGTAGAAATAAATAAGGTAGAAATAAGTTCCTCACGCTGATAACTAATAACTAATCTCTGAGGACACAGTGCTAGTGCACTCTCCTACAGCACCTTGACATGACTCAAATGTTATGCAACATTTTGTGAACATCTATTTATTTGCATTTATTTGTTATAAATGCCACTGTATAATTCTTGTTGTCAGTATTTGCAAGATATTTGTATTAGGGTCTGTACTGGTTAGACTTAAATGAGTTAAACCAAGGTCTATAGCCCTTGGGTCATAGACTATGAGCTATAAGTACATTGGTCTTTTTATACTGGGAATCAGGAGTTATTTTAGTGACCATCTTGTTTCTTATTTTTGTCCTGATTGTGCCCTGAGCAATTTTATGACTGAATAAAAACAAATAAAATCAACATGAATTGAAAAATCGTCCTAAATAATCGAGATCTCAATTTCAGTCATAATAATCGTGATTATTGTTTTTGCCATAATCGAGCAGCCCTATGGTGCACCGGTATATTTTTGCCCCGAGAACAACGTACAAGGCATTATTTCTACTAGAGACCACTGCAAATGTTCAGACTGAGTGTTTCACATCTTTAAACATTCAACTTCTTCTGCTTTAAAGTCCAGCTAACAGACTTTTGTTTTTATTTACATTTCACTGTGTGAGTGATGATGCGTCAGGACCATGCAGCTACAGAACAGCATCAGAATGAAGTAAACCCAAACCTGTGAGCAGTAATTGCATGTGCGCAGCCCTGACGCTGAGCGTGGTGAACAGAATAGTTGCTAAATGCCAGCACGCCATTATTCTGAGTGTTGATATTTGGATGTCAGTACGAAGTTCTGCTGCGCCTCAAAAAAAACATCAGTGAGTCACATTTACGTTTAACATGTATGCTTACAGTGAAAATAAATATATTTTGATATTATATTACTAAGATTAACTAGTTTCCAACTACATCACAAAACAGCAGCTCAGAGGTCAAAAGTCAAAGACCTCATTTAAGCTGGATTTGAATTAGGGAAGCAAGCATTTAAGAGAACTGAATGTAAATAAAAGTTGAAAACAAACAGGAAACAAACAACTTACTGGTCCAGAGCTAGTAATACAATCAAAAGGTTGCTGCTGAAACGATTTTCACGTAAAAGACTCAAACAGCTGATTTGGTTTCAAGTTTGGACAAAATCTTTAAGATCCCTGATTCTTTATTACGTTTTATTTATTTATTTTTTGGCTCAAGACATTTTTTCATAATGTTAATTTATACTAATTAAACTAAAAATGAATATCCAAGTGTCTTGGCTGTAGTGTTTTCATGCTTTGCTTTCTATAACACAATTGTTCTTGACCGATTTAACTCTTTGACCACATTAAGCAGGAAATGCCATCTTCTGGACATTGTTCCTCCAATGTAATGACCCATTACTTAGCTTGTTTACATCCTCAACAGCTGATACGCATCAGTTGCACATCCTGTCTTCGCGGCACATACAATAAGAAGAAAAACAGGCCAGAGAAATATAAAGAGGTTGTTTTTAAAGGGATTTTACAGCCATTTTGAAATGTGTTTTTATATAAAAGTTATACATTACCTGCATGATAGTTTCCTGGACCGCTTCTGTTCTATCCCTCTGGACTGATAAGCTAACAGCTAGTATAAACCAGTTAACACCAAAGTGTATTGCTGCCTTCTCTAAAAGGCCTCAGTTATCAACAATTCCTAGCTATGGTATTTTATTAACCTTTAAACTGTAATAAATGTTATTTTACACAGAACTTTACATTAATTCTATGGTTTCTGATGGGGTCCGCAGCAACAGGAATTCCCCACCGTTTCCACCAAAATAACATGAAATGCAAATATAAGAGCTGCAGAAAAGTTTATAAAATAACAGCAAGAATTACTAAGAAAGTCTGAAGATTTGACCTGGCAGCGGTACACTTTAGTCTCAGATGTGCCCAAACACACACACACGCACACGCACGCACACACACACACGCACACACACGCACACACACGCACACACACGCGCACACACGCACACACACACACACACACACACACACACACACACACACACACACACACACACACACACACACACACACACACACAGAGGTTGCATAGAAGTCCATCTGCTTTGGTTTAGAAAGTATTTATTACTGCTCTGCTATTTGAAAGATGTTTTACAATGATTAATTCAGGTTTTGATAATAAAACAGTACATATTTGTCTGAGCAACAGACACTTTCCAATAAATCACTAATCGAGTTGGCTGCTTTTACTAAACAAATCATTTTGAAGTTCTTGCTAATATTCAAATTGATTTCTGTGAAACATTGATTCAGAGAAACAAATTGAACTCTGATTTATGAGTCATTACAGTGCAAGCTTTCTGGAGGGCGAAGCAATCTGAGCCACACTGTTCATAATTCTGGGGATAAACCTCATTGTTCAGAGGCCACCGTTGTAGAAAATACCCTTTTAACAAGAGTGAATCAACAAGCTGCGGGAACAAAGTGAATACAGCTCATTAATTTGCCTCTCCTCCCACTATCAGCACAGCATTCACTCTCTATAATGAGCCTATTACTGAGCCCTTTGTACCTCCCCACCTCACCATCCCACTCACCCCTGCTCTCTGTTTGCACGTGCCCAGATGGCTCTGAAATCTTCCTTGACAAACAAATAAATGACTTTTAATTTGAGTGTCAATCATCCATCTGCATTCACAAACACAATCTGGTATTTTTCCTTGTGAGAGGACACAGCTGAGGGGTTGCAACAAAACTTTATCAAAAGACAAAAAATTTAATCTGAGGCATGAGTACTTCCTGTCAAAAGCTCTTCCAGTGCAACCAACTTGATGTAAATGATTTTAAATATTTAATATAAAATCCTGTAACCAATTACAGAATAAATACAGTTTAATAAATAACTGGGCAAATTAAATCTAAAAATATTCAAATACAAAAGCAACTCTGAGAAATAAATAATTTTGGTAAAAGGTGTTTTTCAGTACCCGTCTCACGCGCCTTGATAAGGTGATGAGCAAACATTTGGACACTTGAAAGTCCAAATAAGCATTTAATTTAATCTATAATTTATACAAGTATTAATTTTAAAAAGAAAGAAAAACCACTTTGGCCCAATAATATACTATTGTCAGCAGGAGGCCGGCTCAATGAAGCCAACAACCAATGAAAATGTTTAAATCTCTAGGTTAGTTTCACTTTTCCTTTACTACGTTTAAAGACAAAATACAAATTTAGTACTTTTTTGTTTATTAAGCACACATTGATAAGCTTTTGCAAGTCTAGGAATTATCATTCAAGGACACGTTGACATGACCACAGTAATTATATAATTCACTTGACCAAAATCGGTTCCTCTAAAGTAAATCTTTACAGCAAAAAGCATTTTAAAACATGTTTTTTTTTTACATTTACCATCTCCATAGGATTCCTCAGAAACAAAGATCCGTGGAGCAGATGGTCTCCGTTTTTGACACTCTGCCATAAAAAGCGTTAAAATTATTCATGAAGATGAAAGATGACTGAAGTGTTAGGAACATAGCAGATTTTCTGAAAGTCAGCCAGGCTTGGAAAGTTAATGTCTCTGTTTGTTTTCTCTGCAGTATGAGAGCGGTGCGCTTTGAGAGGAGGGTGTGGCCAACTCCACAGGTAAACCCGACGCTTTACGCACGCGAGAAACCTCCATTAAATCATTTAAACAAAGCAAGCCACACTAATAATTGTGATTAACTCGAAAGAGAAAATTAAACTCATCGACCACCAGCCGCGGTCTGAACCTCCTCCAGCTAGCCAGGTGACAAGCACGCGCTCTTCTCTCCAGTGTCCACACTCACCCAGAAGATGCAGGAGTAGAAGAACAGGAGGAATTTGATGAGCGTGTAGGAGAACCGTCGACAGTGTCTGGTGGTTTCGCTCTCGTCAGCCATCGCGTCTGAATGTGGACATTTAACTGCAGAGGCTCCTCTGCGCTCACTGACCAAACACTTCCGGGTTTGACGACGTCGCCACACCTGTACTGTACGTAGGAGTAAAGAACGTATGGATGAGAGGGTTGTTGACTTCAGACAAACAGACTCTACTTTACACATATTTGCAGTTTAAAACGTGTTCGCAACCTGGCATTGTGAAGGGAATAGTTATGATTGAAGCTCATTATTTATTCTCAAAAGGATTTTTAGACCTTTTAGCGAACGGTCTGTTAAACACAGCAGCAAAATCTGATTTCTTCTTCTTTAGTTGTTTTATTTTTAACTTCCCCAAAGATCATTCAGCAGTGTTTTTGTTTTTATTCACTTGTTTTGTTTAGTTATACAAGTTTTAATATCAGAATAAACCTGGTAATAAGTGTATTATAGCCAAAAACAAACAATAAACTTCTGTGATTTTAGCATAAAACATGTCACTTTGCCCCCTTGTGGTGAGAATGGTTTAGAGGGACTGAGCTAAATATTATAAAACCTTTATGGCTGTGATGCTTCAAGAGATAGTCATCTCTAAGTCCTTTTTGAACTTTGTTCTTAATGAAGACATCTGTCTGGTTCTCTGAAATGAATTTGTGTTGATGGGGTCACTCTGTAATTATCTAGCTTCTCATCCAAGGCTGGATCACTGAAGGAAGCTAAAGCAAAGATGTCCTATTGCCTTTTTGACACATACCTTCCTTGGAGATCCCAGGGCCAGAGAGGATTTTAATCCACCCCCCACAGCCATGAAATTCTGGGTCATCTTTTCAACTTTCATCAGGATTTGCCCAGAGAGCCATCGAAGGGAGGTAGCATCATGCAAGAAGTACCTCAATAAGATCATTTCAATGAGAAGGAACAGCAGCTCCACTCTAAGCTCCTCTCCGGATGACAGAACCACCCCGTGGTGATGTCTCAGCTGCTTGAATTCTGATTCTTTTGGTTCCAAAGTTCCAAATCTTGTGACCATTGGTGAAAGTTGGAACAGACCATTTGTCTTTCAGCTCACCTTCTTCGTCACTACTACAGACCATATATTATTAGCCCAGAACCATCTAATCAGGGACAAGATGAACTCCTTTCCATCTTATTCAACAATCGGTTGGAGCCTCCTGTCCAGGAACCTAGAGTCAATTCTAACAAGGAGACAGAGAAACGTGATCCTTTAGAGTTGCAACACAATCTTTGGGCACCTGTTTAGAAAATTTTAAGGTTTATTTTTGGTCAAAACACAATTTGATGTTTGTCTTCTTACTGGTGTTTCTGTGGAAGCAGATCAGGATCCCTCTATGTACAGTTTTGATCTACATGTCTCTAAAAGTCAAATCAAGGACTAGGTTTGCAATTTAGCCTCTGGCTATAAAAGCTCTGTACGAAGCAACGGTTGTGTTGCTCTTACATGTAACGCTGTCTTTTGTGCTGTCCTTGTACAACAAAACCAAACTAAACTAAACATCACGATTAACAAACAAACTTTTCATTTCCTCTCTCTGCACCCTTCACCAAGTCCTGCTGGCCAAGAAAAATGTGTAGTCGTGTGAAAGTGCACAGATGTATCACTCAGTGCACACACACACACACACACACACACACACACACACACACACACACACACACACACACACACACACACACACACACACACACACACACACACACACACACACACACACAATTTCTTCAGCTGAAGTCAGCGATTCCCACCTGCGTGCCTTCCTTTTACATGTGAACCAGTGTGATTGTTTTTCCTTTTGAGGGAAGAATGATAAAAAGTATCAGAAAAACAGAGAGCAGATTTGTGTTTTGGCGACAATCAAAGTAACAGATGGCACAAAAAAGGGAAGGAAAAGGTTGATAATCAGACGCCGAGAGTGCACATCTAACATCAGAGTCTACCTGTTTGTTCTGCAGGATGTAAAAACATGGCTGAAGGCATCAACCCCACCTGCAGTGCTTTGATCCATCATAGCCTCACAACATCTGAGAACTTAGAATTGTAACGGAATCAAAGTGATGTAACTATCTAAAGTTGTATCTTAATACACTGTTAGTAGTTCACTTTTTATAAACAGAAGAATAGGCTGTTTTTATCATCAAGGAGTTTAATTAAACACTCTGTATTGACTTTGAGACAAGAAAAGAGAGAGATATGGGATCGTTTGAGAATCTTTAATTTCTGAATTATAAATTCTAAACAATCTACCAGGACTACTCTGTGATGGATGAGAATGGATTCGGATGTTGTGTTGGTGCGTGTGTGTGTGTGTGTGTGTGTGTCTGGTTCAGATTCTCTAGGATGACGTAATCGAATCTGGTCGTCTTTGTTATGACTAGATATCACGAGGCTTATAAAGTGATGACATGGCCGCTATTTTGCCGTGTACGTACCCAGTGGGGGCCTCCCAGGTAGATCAGGAAATGCCGGGTCTGGAAACCTCGGATGTACGGTGGAGCTGTCGGTGCAGCGATCACAACGTTTCAAAGCCCGTCTGGAGGGTCGACCCGGTACCGTTCAGCGGCGTCAGCAGGTGCTCTTATTTTGAAAGGACGTCGTCTGGTTGTTAAACGACGAAAATCTCCCGTTTCACAGTTCTTAGTTTAAAGAAAACACATCCGGCCAGGCTGCGCTTGTCTTTAGGATGATGGTGAATAGAACTGAAGTCAAGATGGAACTGACTTAAAATGGCGTTGCCTTGTTATATATCTCTGAATTGTTGATAAGTTTCAGTAAAGTAGATTGGACACTTGAAGTCAACACCAGATTCTCTTGCGGCAGCCGAAAGCTCTGATTGGTTGGAACAATGTGTCATGCGTTTCTATGGAGATGAGGATCAGTATGTCTGCACCGTAGTCCTGGTTTCATTAAACATAATTCATGACATATTTATTTCACAGATCATTCACTTGATTATTGTTGATCAACATCTGTTTTGCTTAATAATTTTAATCACAAATAAAGTACTTTGATTAAGTAAAGCTTCTTCTTCTCCTTCGGACTCTTCTCCTGGAATGTAAACAGTCTGAGGAACAACCCGACCTTGGTTTTTCTACACGGTGTTATTGTGCCCAGGGGCCAGCTGTATGGAGTTGAAAACCATGAACTTCATAACCTTACATATCCCCCCTTTTCAAGGTCAATGTGGTCCTTCAAGAGACCACTTGGTCGTTGAACAAACCCAAGTTATGAAGAATCTCGACAACAGAACCGGATGCGATCCCAAGGGAACAGCCATCTGTGGTGAGGTACGAACCCCACGCCGGAGAACAGTCTCGCACACTCCTCAGGAAGAACACAAGTCAGCAGGTTATTAATTATTCCCCATGGAAGTCATAAATGAAGCAACAGCAACGTCATATCCTCACGGGCAATAAAGCAAAGCAGGAGCAAATCTTGAACGTATCCACGAACAGGGTAGTATTCCAATTAAAAATCGATTGTTGTATCTGCAGGCAGGGTAATATTCCAAATGAAAATTGAACGTTGAAAGAGTACTTATCGTAATCCACAAAAAGGGAAGAGCAGGTGACAGTAATCCCAACGAATGAGGTGTCCCAGCAGCCATGCCGGAACCACAGTCGTCCAAGGCCAACGAGCCGGAGCACCACCCAGGAGTAGTCGATGCAGATGACGAGTCACGGATCCACCCCCAGGACGCAGGATCCTCACAAGCTCAGCAGAGGAGAGAGAGCACAGTGTAGGCACTTCAATGTAGACACGACAAAAGTGCATTTCATGTCATCAAAGAAATAAAAAAATAATAAAAACCTAACTCTATGAGTGCCTTTTGTACTATGTGTTAGTTTTAAGTGTAATTACCCATTAAGCGAAGAAATGGATGCAACCCTGACTGTGTAAGATGCAAAAAGGGATGATGCGAGAAGCAGAAAAGTGAAAGAAACCCTAACTGGTATCAGTGAATCCTCACTGTAAATATTTGTGTCAGGACAGGGGCAAAATTGGTTGTAGCCCCGCAGGATAAATCAAAGAATTGATGATCACAAACATAATTTTCACTGTAAAAATCAACTGGTCAAAGGTACTATAAAAAACAGAAATGTAAATCAGCACTAAAATGTAAATCAGTGGTTAGTAATCATGTTCATGTGAATGTACCCCTAAGGAATTGTGATTAGTAAAGATTAAAAAAACAAAAGCTTGGACAACAGTACTATGTGACCTAACCCACTCACTGTTACCTGGCCTTTCACCTGACTTCAGGAGCCCACAGCACGTCCATCTCAACACACCTTAAGTCTGCACGTGACGTATAACAGGAAAGACAACCATGTACACTCACAAACAAACAAATTTGTGTAAGCAGAGATAGAAATCTGTGGAACCAACGGGACGTATTTATCACCCCCCTTTTGAAGTCGGTGGATTGTTGTTGTTGGTATCGGCCAAATCTGTGGGACCCTTGTGCAGTTTGATATGGTCCCTGTGTACCCATTTATAGACGGGCGCCTTGTTTTTGTCGGCGATCTTGATCTGATACACGACCGGAGAGATCTTATCTGTAACCAGGTATGGACCCGACCATCTGGGCAAAAGTTTCTTAGCCAGCTTCCCCGAGGTCGCATTGTTGTTACCCGTTTTGGGAGTGAAAATGTAGTACCAGGCCTGGTCACCTACATCGAGTTCGGAATGTGAGGCTTTCTTATCGTAATAAGTTTTTCTGCCTTCAGCTGACTTTTCCAGAGATGCCTGTGCGAACGAGAATGCTGCAAGCAGGTGATCTCTCAGGTCCTGCAAGTATTGGCCGCTCGTACACGCCGGGGCTGTGTCGGACGGAACCCGTCGTTGATACAGCAGGTGAAGCGGTAGGGTCATCTGCCTACCCGTCATCATTTCAAACGGGGAGACACCTGTAGACTCATGAGGGGTAGCGCGTATGGCCATGAGGACCAACGGAAGTTTCACATCCCAATCTCGGTGGTTAGCTTTCACGTACTTTTTTAACATGCTGATAACCGTGCGGTTCACCCTTTCGACCTGTCCAGAGGACTGGGGCCGGTGGCTAATGTGGAACCTAGCCTTGACACCCAACAGTTCCCAA